ATCTAACGTCTTTTTCTCCATTACCTGTTTTAATCTTAGCAGTGAAATGATATAATATATAATAATATTTTTTAGCAATTAAGGGGTTTATAATTTAATAATAACAACCTGAATCTATAAGAAGTTTAATGGGGGGATTTTTATTTGAATGTATGGTAAACTATTATTGTTAATCTCAGTATACATTTCTGCTACGTGAGATTTTTGTTCGAGGCAACTATGGAAAATTTTTTATTATTATCTTTACAGGTGTAATACTGGGAATCTTCTTCGTAATAGTAAGGGAAATAATTAGAGATGTCGTCATTTTGGTCATTGGGACATTCTATTTCGTTTGTTAAATCGGGGGTTTCGGATAAAGAAGGAGTTTCGTCGTCGATTTGGAAGAGTTCTTCCGAGGAAAAATTTCTTGGACCGGATGGTCTAAAATTATTTTGTCTAATAAATGAGCGTGGGATTGTAGCTCTAGAAGTTGTTTGTCATAGGTTCGGGTTTGTTGGTCGAAATTTGACCTGTTGGTTTAAATACGTCTTTTGGGGGTCCGAAAACTTGTTTATTTGTAAAAAAGTTTTGTTTTGATGATCGGGGTTCTAAATTTATAGGTTTATTTTGGTTGTATAGGTTGGTAGGGGTATCTTTTCTGTGTTCCATTGTGTTGGTTGATATGGATATCTTTGAGTGTTTTGTTGTGAGAATCAAAGGTTTGCCATTGGAGGGTGCGATATGGAAAATATTGGAAATTGTTGACGGGGTACTTGTGGTTGCTTATAATAAGCTTGATTATTAGTGTTTAAATATTGCGGTTTTGAATTAAAAGTTTTTAAAGAAATTTTGGGAACATTGAAAATTTTCCTCTCGTCTCGTCGTCATTGCGTCTTCCAGACTATCTGGTTCTTTAATTCTTAACAAAAATTGAATATGAAAAAGGTAAAGATCTTATAAATGTTTTTAAAGTTAATTGTTCGTATTGTTTTAAATAAATTATTTTTTCAGCTGCGGTCAGTTCTTTGTTATCGGGAGAATTGACTTTTGAGCTATGGTACTTCTTAAAACTTGGGCGTTTAACAAAATCTAAACTACTTTCGTTTTTATTGGACCTATAAAAATCTCTTGTTCTAGACACTCTAAATTTCGTTTATCGCCAAAACATGTAATTAATGCGGTTTTTATTAGAACCCAGGTATTAAGTTCAGCGCGATTACCTACTAATAGCTGAGCTCTATGAATTAATTTAGTTTGAACAACTCTAAGTAAATAATCTTTTAAAATTATTTTGTCATAAAAATTATTAATAATAAAGTCGCAGGAAGCGATAAAACTATTAAGTAAATTAACGTCACCATCATAGTAAGGGATGGTATTAACGTACATTTCCAGCATATTTAAATCAGTTCTCTCTGCAGTAGCTCCGGTAGCTGCAGCTGCAGGTGAATTGTTCATATTTAAAGTTGTTTTTGTGTCTGATAAATTTAAATTATTAAAGAAATTGCTTAAAGGGTCCAATTCTGTAATTAAATATAAAATATTTTTATTAATTTTTTTTTATTTTTTTCGCTCCTTTGAGTTCTATTAAATATAAACTTTTAGTTATCTTTCCTATACGGGGAAAAATGGGAAAACAGGAATACTTGGACTTACTACTTAGGTCCTTGTTGTCCTGCTGAGTGATTCTGCACTGGGTCCTAATTCTTGTGTTTTGAAGTCTTCTTTTTGGATGTTCAAGCCTTTTCAAGTCAAACCCTTCGAAAAGCTAGTCTATAAGTAGTCCATAGGAAGTGTCACTTTTTTCTGGTAGTTGAACTCACTTTTAAAGTCGATTGTGGCTAAAGGATTACATCCACGTTCAATACGTTAATAATAATAAACTGCACACAATCCTACCGACTGCGTCAATTAAAGTAATTAATTTGATAGATTGGTTTTTAAAAACAATATTTATTAATTATTCGAGGTTTACAATCGAGAAGCAAGATACAGAATGAATAAACTAAACTAAAAATGTAATAATCATGAACATTAAAGATAAGAGATAATTCAATGAAATGAAATATTATCTTCGTACACCTTGTACATGGTCATAAAATACGTGCACATAACTCAGGTCTGGCTATTAAGTTATTATAAAAGAAATGATATATTGGTGGAATATACGGTAACAATGATTGTACATTTTGAATAATAAATCATCATCAGATTTAGACCGGTTTTCCTTGACCAACTGTAACCATAATGACATAAGGAGCCAATTTTTATTTTGTCCAGGCAGTTGTCGGTGAAAACAACAAGATCTTCCACATTATTAAGAAATTTTAACACTACAGGGGCTATTTCGTCAGCCCCTCTTTTAGCTTTTTCTTCAGTCCATAAGTACATGTACCCCTGCTCGGCAGTATAATCATGGATCCCTAGATTATACAACCATATTTTTCGGCAGTAAAAAGCAGGTTCGGTCGTTAACTTTGGTATGGGCATTGCCTGCTGTAAATCAAAGAAAATCATCAGTCTTTTAGAACCTTTAATCATTGAGAGTTATTTTTCAGATTTTAATAGATATTGCATTGCCTTAGCTCTTGACTTATGTAGGTTTAGGGTTGTTGACAATATTCTACGTTGTTCATCGTCATTGTTTATTATATCAGTCTCTAATTAAATGTTAGTTTTATCACACGCTTTGCAGGTATTTGATTTGGGCAACTTAAATTCCGTACAAAAAATTTTGCGATAGGCGTTTTCTTTTACTGGAACAATGTTTTGCTCTTCACACCATGAAACATATCATATCGCAGTTAAGATACATTTTTCCCATGTTGTCAGCCTTACTGAGGTGGCTCTGATATTTGGGAATTAATTCAATGTGTCTTCTAACCGATTGTTTTTGTTCATCTGTAAGTTTTAGTGGCCTATTTGCATGTTTGCCCAGTCTATCTAGTTCTGGAACAGAAGGCCCCTGTGCTTTCATTTTAACCACACGGTTAATTCGGCCTCGGGAATTCTGGATCCCATGTATACTCATGAACTCCACCTTTCATATTTGTATATCTTTTCCGTTAATATTAATAGTGTACTTACTCCGCATTAAATATTCTCCCAGATTCTTGCCTGTTTTTTTTTATAGGACCTTTTCTTTTTATGAATACGAATGCAGGCAAACAGATAACAGTTTTGTGTATCAATTGATCCCAAATCCCAAAATTTGTGAAAAATAGCTTTACGTGTGATGTCTAATTTTTCTCTAAACTTATTTTTGCAATGACAAGGGGGTGCCAACTCGCGTGTTTTGACGACATTCTTGTTTTTTACGCTTAAGTATTCCTGACCCAAATTACGTCTTCTCTTGCTCTTCACTCTTTGGTAACTGGCTTCTCTTCTTTGTCTCCAACGAGATTTTGGAGGTTTTTCAGGTGATTTCTCCGTAGATCGTCGCGTTTTGGATGCTAACCTTGCTAGTTCATTTTCGGATTCAGTAGAAAAACCTTTCCTCTGAAAATATATCGCAATAAGATGATAAACAACATAAGTAACCTGCAATAGGGTGAGAAGCCCCAGTTCAAAATAGAATAAATAATTTTTGGAAGAACATGACAAGCCATAAAAACTTTAAAAATGCATATTTCACTGTTTTCTAAACTTTTATCGTTGTCACTTAATGCATAGTCCTTGTCGGCAACACTGTCATCACATGAATCTTCAAACTCGTCACTACAGCTGGTACTTTGTGGCTTGTTATAATATTGCTTATTGCTACAAAGCAAAAATGTTGTTTTTTAAAAAAGTGTGGCTTGTCATGTTTTGAAGCCCTTCAATTATATAATTAAAATTCTTCTTTTTAATTTAACAATTTAAAATAAACAATCCTATAATTATATGCTTAACTATCACAAACACTTTAAAAAAACAAGCTGCAAAAAAGCTGGTTGTACACGCTTTGGCGTTTTTTTTTTAAAGAACGCCCTCTTTAGTTTAAACTATTAGATCATTAATTAGGTGTTGCCAAACTTAAAAACAAATATTTTTGTTAAAAAAAACAAAACCAATAAAACAATATTTTTTAATTTTTCCAAAGATTTTGGTAAAATAAAAAAAATTAAATACCAAAATACCTATAGGAATAGAATAAAACAAAATGTTATTTATTTTATTCTATATATCTAGCTAGGTAATTTATTTTATTCTAGACCACGCGCAATTAATATTTAATTAATAATTATTATGATAAATGTTTAATTAATTAATTTATTTATTTATTAATAATTATTACGATAATGTTTTATATTTTTAGCATGTAAAAAGTCAAAAAAAATATTTATCGATTAACTGTGGTTTCATGTAAAAATTGAACAAATTTTGGACATTTGTTTGCAAGTGATGCCAGAATTGAATATAATTTTTTAACTTTCAGATTAAAAAAAAAAATATATCCATTGACCGTTGTGGTTTTCAGGCCTAAAGTCATTCTACTGTGTTAAAAATAGATAAATTTTGATATGTAATAATATTTTTATTTAACGTATCTATTTGAAATTAAGATAAAATGTAGACCTTATTAGTGACAACGTATTATTTTTTTTTAGATTTTAACATAATTTAATTTTTTAAAGGTTAAAAAGTCGAAGAAACAACGTTGTTTTATAATTTTGAGTATATCACGATAAAGTATTGAAAATTATAATTAACTACTATATGATATATAAACTTCTACATGCAAATTATGTTTCTACTAGATACACCATTTTTAAGTTAGGCCTTCGAAGAGCATAATACAAACGTGTTTTACAAATTATAAGTTGCTCTCGTCTCGCAAATAAATGTATGTAGTACCTCCCTGATCACGCACTCGAGTCACAATATTTAAAGACAAAAAAATATATTCAATACTTACATCACCGACCAGCACGATTCATTCTTTCTAATTGTGCGCTCGAGTTCACATCGGCTCAGTGTTTATTAAATAGTTTGGTGTTTTTAATTTTCCAATTAAAAAGTATAATAATTGGATTTCAATGAGTAAACGTCGTAGAGGTAGCCCGGATAGCGGGCTAGACAGAAAGAGAAGAAAATTGCTTCGAAAACTGGAAAAATTGGACCGAATTCAAGATGAGGCGTTAAATAACTCTGACAATGGGAGTACTTCCAGAGGAAGAGATGTAGATCTCGTCCCATCGGAGATACAAGGTAATGCCCTTTTACCAAGAGACATGTGTATGTTTGAAAGCTATTGTTAATGGCTTATTAGTCATATGGCTGGTGAAGGCAACAAAAAATAATTACGTGTACACGTAATGTTGCTTGAAAATATATAAAAAATAATTGAAATAAATTGTATTATTACAATATATTAATTTATGCGATAAACAATATTAAATTTGTTTAAATCAAGGTCAAATGAAACTACTTTTTTCAGTGAGTAGTAAGCGCATAGAAAAATCGATAAAGCAGGACCGCATTGAATCCTTTTTAAAAATAAATTAACTTCAGGATTATAAGGTAATTAGTTGTTTAATTTTAGATGAAAATCAAGATACAATAGAAAATGTCGTGGAAGTTCTTCCAGACAATATTTTGAATATTATTAAAAGCAAAAAACGGACTCCAGATCCTGCATCTGAGCCAGTTCATGAGGAAATTGTCACAGAATGGACATATATTATCAAGAAAGGCCTTTCAGAGGAAGAGAGAGGAGAAATTAATGCCAAGTATCCAGCACCAGCCAACTGCAAAGCGTTTGATGCTCCGAAATTAAATTTGGAGGTAAAAAAGGCGATTAGTTAATCAACTCTAAATAGGGATAATCGTCTAAGCCAGACTCAAAAGCAGTTGGGAAATAGTTTATCAGCATTAGCAAAGGCGTTTTCCTTAGTTTTAAATAAGGAAAGAGGGGAGGATCTGCCCCTAGTGCAAACAATGAGTGATGTAGGAAAATTATTGACGGACTTGTTCTACACCCAATCCACAACAAGAAGAGAACTAGTTTCGTTGGGTCTGAAAAAGGAGGTAAAAGAGACCTTAATTGATGCAGAAATGGATGGGTGGCTTTTTGGAGAGAATTTGGAAGAAAGAATCAGGGCGTCGAAAAATACCGTGAAAATTAGTGAATAACTTAAACCGGCCAAGGCTAACTCCAAGGGTCCGTCCAGGTTTACCAGGGTTCGACAGGACGGACAACAAAGTCAGCATCGAACTCAAAAGCTTCAGGAGCAAAAGTATCCGGATCAAAGATATCGGAAGGAGAGGCCAGATTACCGAAAACGGCCTCCGCAACGCAGGGAGCAGTTCAGGCAGCGTCATTAGTAGTAAGTAGACTGGCTGGCAGATTATCTTTTTTTTATTCATCTTGGTATAAGATTGTTAATAACACAACTATATTGTCGTGGGTAAAAGGAATAAAAATTCCTTTTCTTAAAAAACCTTCACAGTTGCATGTAACTATAGAACTTAGCTGGTCAGATGCTGAGTTGATTTCTATTAAAAAATCAGTGGCAGAATTATTGGAAAATGGTGTTGTCAGTCAGGTAACAGCTGTTACCTGACTCTAGACACTCTAGAGTGTGAGGGGCAATTTATTTCAAATATTTTCTTGGTTCCAAAGACAGATGGTACAAGTCGTATGATTTTAAATCTTAAGGAATTAAATACATTTGTAGAACATAAAAAGTTTAAATTAGAAGACTCAAAAACTGTCAAAAGTTTAATGAATAAAAATTGTTTTATGGCGAAAGTTGATTTAAAGGATGCATACTATCTTTTAAATATTCATAAGAATCATAGAAAATATCTTAGATTTAAAGTAAGGGGCGAATTATACGAATTTAACTGTCTGCCAATGGGGTTGTCTTGTGCTCCATATATTTTTACAAAAATTATGAAACCGGTTATAACTATTTTAAGAAATAAGAACTATTTATCAGTGGTCTATTTGGATGATTTTTTGTTATAAGGTAATTCTTATAAAGAATGCAGAATTAATGTTAAGATGACAGAGTCGTTAGGGTTTGCTATCAATAAAGAAAAGAGCTGTTTAATTCCAAATCAGACTTGTAAATTTCTTGGATTTGAGTATGACTCTAGAAACATGACAATCTCTTTGCCAGGGGAAAAAAGTTAGTATTGAAAAGATGATACAAAAGTTTTCGATAATGAAATCGTGTAGGATTCGCGAGTTTGCGGTATTTTTGGGGAAAATTACTTCTGCTTGTCCAGCGTTAAAATATGGTTGGTTGTACACAAAAAAATTTGAACGGGAAAAATTTCTGGCATTAAGATCTAAAAATGACAATTTTAATTCTACTATGATGATTTCCCCAAGCTTAAAGTTTGACTTTACCTGGTGGTCCAAAAATATTAATAAAGCAACTAATAGTATAGCGCCAATAAAATATTTGTTGAAGATATTTTCAGATGCTTCAGGTTCTGGATGGGGGGCTTGTTGTGGAAAGGTAAAAACGCATGGAGCTTGGTCAGACTCGGAAAAATTTGAACACATTAATTTTCTTGAGTTGATAGCTGCTTTTTTCGGTTTAAAATGTTTTGCTGAAAATTATAAGAATATACATATAATTTGTAGAATAGATAATACGACAGCTATAGCTTACATTAATAAAATGGGCAGTATTCAACAGCAAAAATTAAATAAGTTAGCACGTGAGATCTGGCAATGGTGTGAGAGTAGAAATGTCTTTATATTTGCTTCATATATAAAATCTTCAGATAATTTTATTGCAGATCAAGAGTCGCGTGAAGTACTTAAAAAAGAGACTGAGTGGGAGTTGGCAAACTATGCCTTTGAAAAAATAGTTGCTGTTTTTGGCCGCCCAGTTATAGATTTATTTGCTTCACGAATAAATAAAAAATGTACACGGTTTGTGTCATGGGTCACAGATCCCGAAGCATAGGAGACCGACGCTTTTACCATCAATTGGAAAACAATATTTTTTTACGCGTTTCCACCATATGCCATTATACTAAGAGTCTTACAAAAGTTAAAAGAGGACAGAGCTACGGGAATAGTTGTGGTTCCGTTTTGGCCGTCACAACCATGGTTTCCCTTATTTAAGTCTTTACTTGTCTCCAAAATGTTAATCCTTGAACCAGATATTAACTTATTATCTTTTAATAGGAAACCTCTGTGGAGGAAGTCTTCCCTGGCGGTAGGAATCTTATCAGGGAAGCACTAAAGCGTAAGAAGATTCCTGAAGCCTGTATTGAAATTTGCTTAGCTTCAATTTCTTCAAAACATTAAAGCAGTATGATAGCGGTTTAAAACTTTGGTGGAATTTTTGTAGGTTCAATAATATAGAGGTGTTCTCAAACTCACCCATAGAGGTTCTAAAATTTCTGTCTCTACAGTTTAAAAGAGGTGTTTCATCTGGAACTCTTAATTCGTATCGTTCAGCTCTTACTCAAATCTTGGAGAATGACCTAAGTAGTGACCCAAGAATTAAATGGTTCTTTAAAGGTGTAAATAATATTAGGCCAAGTGCACCTAAATATAGTCACATTTGGGACCCAGGTGTAGTTTTGGATTATTTTTCAAATAAATTAAACGAGTCCTTATCTATTGAAGGTTTGACAAAGAAATTATCAATGTTAATGGCTTTGGCAACAGGCCATCGGGTGCAGAAATTATCGAACATTGAGATTGAGAACATTTCTATATTAGAAGAAAAAATTGAAATAAAGATTCCACTAAGAATAAAGACCTCTTCTAAGAATCGCTGTCAACCTGTTTTGATTTTGCCTTTTTTTAACGAAAAACCAATGATTTGTGTAGCCAGATGCCTTATGATGTACCTGAATAAAACTAAGGATATTAGAAATAATAATTGTAAAAGACTGTTTATTACTCATAAAAAACCTTTTCATAATGCTTCTAGTCAGACAATAAGTAGATGGATTAAAGAAGTGCTAAAGTCTAGTGGTATTGACACTAATACATTTTCAGCACATAGCACTAGACATGCAGCTACATCAGCTGCTGCTAGAAGGGGTATTAGTGTGGATACGATTAGAACAACTGCCGGCTGGTCTAAAAAGTCAAATGTTTTTGCTCAATTTTATCAGCGCCCAGTTGGGTCATTGGATAATTTTGCTAACACTGTATTAGGTAGTTAAACTTTTTTTGTATTATAGAAATTAAATAAATAATGTTTATTGGTGCGCTAGAGTTATTTAAAATGTTGTTGTTACTTTGAACAGCTACATACATTTATTTGCGAGACGAGAGCAACTTATAATTAATGGATCAAACGAACTTACCTAAGTGAAGTTCGATCCTAATTATGAGTTGCTCTCGTCGAAGTAAATAAATCCCGGCCCATCCCTAATTCCCAAAAAGACAACAACATTGCTTTAAAAAATGAATCGTGCTGGTCGGTGATGTAAGTATTGAATATATTTTTTTGTCTTTAAATTGTGACTCGAGTGCGTGATCAGGGAGGTACTACATACATTTATTTACTTCGACGAGAGCAACTCATAATTAGGATCGAACTTCACTTAGGTAAGTTCGTTTGATCCATTAATTATATATTCGTTTATCTAGTTTTATAAAATAATGTGTTATATAATACATATTAAACATTAAATATTACATATCTTAAATTTAATAAAAATCATATAGATGAAACTCTAACAATATCATTGCTAAAAATCCGTTAAAATTCTAACGAATAGCTACTATTATAAGGTTAAATTCTGACAAGTTTCAAATTTTTTGAACAGTTACTTTGGCCGGAATAAATAATTAATTATTCAATGCTGAAAACACCATGTTATTTACATAGGAAACATAAACTACAATGCGGCACGGGTTAATATTATGTTAGGAACTTGAAACTTGGAAAATATATTTTTTTATTTATTTCGTACCCTTTGAACCTTGAGAGCAAAAAAATCAAAATTTCTTAAAAAATGGACCACCCTAATATATATATAACATACAATTCTTACATATTTATTTAAAAAAATCGCCATAGATGGAGCTAAAATTAGTTTTATTTATAAATTTTAAATTTTTTCAAGTTTACTAATTTTGATCATAGTAGGCATCATAGACTTTTCTCTACGGTAACCTACCATTGGAAGCATGAAAGATAACTTGGCAGTTCAGTTTATAAGTCGCAAATGACTGATTGCGTTTCAATTTATAAGTGTACTATAAACTCAAAACATTAATTTATTAAAATGAATAAACTAACTAATAATTATAGACAGTGTTAGCAAGTTAGAAATTATAACCTACATTAATTTTATTTTTTGCTCCACAACCCAGCTTTTTTACTTACTTTTTGAGTTTCCTTCCTTCAAATATTCTTGTCATTTTTGTCGTCGAATATGAAAACATTTTTCAAGCCGCAAAACACATTTAAAAAAATAAAATGACGGATATAAGATTGCATACCATGCAAGACGAAGAGCTGCCTGCCCTCTTTTTCTGCTAGAAGAAGATGGGCACAAGAACATGCAAATTTGGAAAACGATGTGTTGATAACTAATCGATACCTTTCGTAGTTTGCTCATTTTTGGGAATTAAGTGGAGAATAACGACAATTTTCGAAAAATTGCTATTTAATCGTAGTTAGCCAAGATATCCAGAAAAAACTCGAAAACGTCCGGAGGGATTACCTAACTGTTATTAGGAAGGGGTATTATGACTATCAAGCTCAACTGCCCTGTAAATGGGGATTTGGAATTTTGGAAAAAAAAACATCTCTTTTTTAACACCCTGTAGTATCATGCTATATGCACAATATCGTATTTTCAAAATTAGACATAAGAGTCAAAGAATCAACTATTGCTCATTTTTTGGACTAAAATGAAGAATAACGTAAATTTTCGAAAAATTGCCATATAATCGTAGTTAGCCAAGATATCCACAAAATCTCGAAAATGTCCCGAGGGATAACCTAACTGTTATTAGGAAGGGGTATTACGACTATCAACTGCCCTGTGAATGGGGATTTGAAATTTTGGAAATATTTAGTACAGTGAGATAAATTTAAAAAATGGTAAGACAAATTGGCACATTAGAATAAATTAAAAAAAAGTAGCACAAATTTTTGCTATTTCGCACAGTGGTATAAATTTTATTATACAAACGGTAGGAGAAATCCGTACGGTAGGATACATTTAAAAATATTGGGCCAAGTTATTGCCATTTCGCACAGTAGGTTAAATTTTAAAAAAAGTACAAATTCGCACAAGAGCATAAATTTTAAAAATGGGAAGACAAATTCTCACTTTAGGAAATCAAATTTGAAAATAGAAGAATAAACTTTTGCTATTTAGTACAGTGAGATAAATTTAAAAAATGGTAAGACAAATTGGCACATTAGAATAAATTAAAAAAAAGTAGCACAAATGTTTGCTATTTCGCACAGTGGTATACATTAAAAAAATGGTAGGAGAAATCCGTACGGTAGGATACATTTAAAAATGTTGAGCCAAGTTTTTGCCATTTTGCACAGTAGGTTAAATTTAACAAATAAAAGTACAAATTCGCACAGTTGCATACATTTTAAAAATAGTAAGACAAATTCTTACATTAAGAAATCAAATTTAAAAATGGAAGAATAAAATTTTGCTATTTAGTACAGTGAGATAAATTTAAAAAATGGTAAGACAAATTGGCACATTAGAATAAATTTAAAAAAACTACAAATGTTTGCACAGTGGCATAAATTTAAAAAGTGGTAAGAGAAATTCGCACACAAGTTCTAAAGTAAAAAATAGGGAAAAATTCGCACAGTAGTTAAAAAAATGATGGAAATTTTTTTTTAATTTCAAATTTTACATAATTTTTAATAGTTCATTATTCCCGTTGTTGGGCAGGGAGTTTATAATGTTTATCATTATTTACGAAAAAAAAAACAATTTTATGCAATAGGAGTAGGTAAAATAATTTAATTCGCAGTTTATGACGTCTTATCGTATTCCCTATTATTATTTTCAGAATACTTCAGTTAAACCCAAGGATAATTTGGAATCGGCAATTGTTGATTGGATGGCAAAAAAATATTTACCTTTTAATTTCTTCAATGACGAAGACACGCAAAATTTTTTTAAAGAAATATCTGGAGAGGATTTTCCAAAACAGAATAAATTGAGAAGATTAGCAATATTTCGATTTGACTGCTTACAAAAAAAAATGATCGACCTGTTGACAGAAAATTCTTCAAAATTATCATTTACTATAGATGGCTGGACCTCTATCAGCGGCAGATCTTATTATGGAATAACCACTCATTTTATAGATAAAAATTGGGAATTGCAATCTATCACCCTAGATTTTATTCCTGCTCATGGAAAACATACAGGAAAAGACATTGCTCTCACGTTTTTTAAAAGTCTTGACGATAAAGGCTTACGCAACAAACTTCAAGGAATAACAATGGATAATGCCTCAGCCAATACATCTTTTATTAGAGAACTTCAGGAGCTAATTCCCGATTTAAATGTAGAGGACTGCCATTTTAGATGTTTTGCACATGTAATTAATCTGGCTGTGCAAGATTTGTTAAAATTGCTAAAACTTAATTCTGAAGCAAATGAAGAATTGAGCGATGATAGTGTCGATGAGGAAGCTGATGTTGAGGAAATTGAAAATAATTCCAATGCAATATGCAAAATACGTTCTATTTTTTCAAGAATTAAACGGTCAGAGCAACTTTTAATTAAGTTTCGAAGTGCCTGTGAGGCAACTAGTAATTCACGGAAACTGACACCTGTGTTGGATGTGCCTACACGGTGGAATTCGAGTAATGATATGTTGCAAGTAGCTCTTAAAGGCAGACATGGACTCGGTGTATTGTGTCAAAATGTTGCCGATTTAAAACCATACACTCTTGGGGATGAAGAATGGATACTGCTAGAAGAAGTGCATAAATTACTATCCAACTTTCAAATACTTTCAAAAAAACTCGGAGGAGACAAGTACGTCACCTTACCTATGGTGGTTGTATGTATCAATATACTAATAGATAATCTTGAGAGCAAAATATTTGAATGGGAGGGAAAGGCAGGTCGAACCCCTGTTGAAGAGCAGCTTATTGTTGGTTTTCAGGCTGCGAGAGACAAAATATTAAAGCATTATCGTAAAACTAACTGGATTTATGCTGCAGTTTTAATTCTCGATCCGCGGCATAAATTATAAGCATTTGATATGACAAGATCGGGCCAAGAATTAAAATTGAGTTCGATCCAGAAATTTCAAGATATATACAAAGTTTATTTTCATCAATCAGAGGGACAACGTTTAAAAAAAACGGCGGTCGAGGGACAAGATCCTGAACCAGAAAAGTCGGATTTTGTAATCGATGTCTTGTATGCAGTAAATCCTAGCCCTGTCGAAGGAGAATGGATGGAGCTTCAAAAATATTATTATATGCCCCGGTGTAATAAAACCACAGATATATTACAATGGTGGAAAATTCATGCTTCTGAATTGCCCATTCTTAGTTTGATGGCACGAGATCTCCTAAGCATACCGGCTACTTCAGTCCCGGCGGAAAGATTGTACTCACGTGCTGCGTTAACTATAAGAAAACATCGAAATCGCCTTAATAATGAATCTGCACGATGTTTGTTATGCCTAAACGACTGGGTGAAAAACAAAATTATTTGCGATCCAGAAAGCTGTTAGCAGATTTGTTTCCAATTATTCACAAAATGTTAAGATTTCGTTTTATTTAAAAGTAATATTTCAAATAGATGATGTTATCTACAGTTGTAGTTTTCTCTTCCCACCCTTACATTATAGCAAGTAGGTAAGTATCCGGGATACTTACCTACTGCATCCCTTACTGGAACAAAATTATCCATGAAGGGATTTCGAGACTTTTGCGAGACTCTCGTACGAGAAACGAGACGAGACTGGAGGCTGCGAGACGAGACTTGATACGAGACTTCTTATTTCATCGGCGAGACGAGACAAGACTTTATGAAAGTCTCGTCTCGTTGGTCTCGTGGGAATCACTAATTACGACTACAATGTTTAAAATATCTGTGGTGTAAAAAGTAATCTTAAAATGGTGTCAAAATCCAACACCAAGTGGTGTTAATATAACACCATGAATTATGGTTAAAAATGTGTACCGATCGCGGCAAAGGCGGTCTGGATCACGTGATGTTCTTAAATATCGCCTCTGTTGACTTACATGAAGAATATATAAACTCAGGTGGTCCTTTGCTTTGGTGTGACACTACAAGTTGTTCGATACTAAAGAGACCTTAAATAGGTGGAAACAGCTATCAATACTTGAAGTATTTTAAGTTAGTGGAACGCATTAAAAACATTATCTCTAGCGAGTTGAAGGTTCCATTTTCTGGAATAATACCACTGGTAATATACTAGTAATGCGTCAAGGAACTTGTTTCCTTTTTTTTCCTTTTTTCTGTGTAGTATAATTTAATTTGTCCACAAACACATAATATTTAACACTGAAAAGGAGTTCAATTTACACCAGGTAAAATTTATTTTAATACTGTGTGGAAGTTAAATTAACACAATTTTAGTATTTGAATTTACACCGGCCAACGAACCATATTTAACACCATTTTGGTTTGTATCGATTTATGGTGTTAATTTGGTGTTAAAATGGTCATGAAATTTTGAACAGTGTATCAATTTCAACTGCCCTGTGAATGGGGATTTGAAATCTTGGAAAAAAATCATCTCTTTTTTTAACACCCTGTAGTAGAATGCTATGTGCACAATATCGTATTCTCAAAATTAGACGTTAGTCAAAGAATCCACTATTGCTCATTTTTTGGACTAAACTGGGAAATAACGACAATTTTCGATATATTGGCATATAATCGTAGTAAGCCGCGATATTCACAAAATCTCGAAAACGATACGAGGGATTACCTTACTTATATTAGGGAGGGGTATTACGACTATTAAACTCAACTGCCTCATGAATGGGAATAACTTGAAATTTCGGAAAAAATACATCTCTTCGTTTAACACCCTGTACTATAATGCTATGTGCAAAATATCGTATTCCCAAAATTAGACATAAGAGTCAAAGAATTAGCTATTCAGAATTTCCAAAGATTTTCAAAATCCATTCAGTATTTTTTCAATAACGAGCTTTCAAATATTTTCCAAAAAACTAGGTGCGTCGATTTTTATGACGAGCAGTTTATATAAGTATTATTTTGTTTAAAATAATTTAGGAAAAAAGTCTAAACTAAACATTTATGAATACTACAACTGCTAATTCAAAAAAAGTTAATATATCAAATAATAGTCAAATATCAATAGCTTAACGTGTTATACTCAAATTTATAAAACAAAGTTGCTTCTTCGATTATTTACCCTTTAAAATTTGTTAAATTTTAAAATAAATTATCACCAGAACCCCCTGTACGAGATTTTTTTTTGAAAAAAGTACTGCATTTCTTGAACCCTTGCAAATCTACCGTTCGATCCTTTCGCGAAACCGTAGTTAAAAAGTAAAAATTGACACGGAGAACATATTTAATTAAAAAAAAATATTAGGTGCGTTCTTTTGAACTGAGATCCCAGCTCACTTTAAATGTGCTCTTTCGACAGAGCACAGGATCCATTACATTTACCGTATGGTAGAAAAGGACAAAGCTTAACTTTAACTGAAGGGGCTGAGATCCCATTCGAAAAGAACGCAACTATTGTTAATATTACTTAGGTTAGCAAAAATATGTATATAAATAGTGATAATTTAATAAATAAAAACCAGTTACATTTTAACTCACAAACTCGACTTTACTATTGCCCCAAGCCACAAACCCTTAGAACGTGAGGCTGCGTTCTACAGTAGTAAACAACCAGCAGATAATTTATCAATTATCTCTGGTCAACATTAACATAACAGCATTGCTGTTATACATGGTCCTTCGAACATCGTTGAATCAACTAATGAAGCCAGAAGAAACTGCACATCAACAATCAAACTCCTGGAAAAGGCCCTTTAAAATTAACTTAAAGGGCATATATAGGTACTCCGACACCCCGTACAACCCCGTGAGCAACGACCCACGCTGTTGGAAAGGAAAATATACCAATCAACCCCAACCAATCAACTGGAAGCTAAGTCCAATAGACTGCGGGCAAGAATTACAAACATACCAGTACAAGGTACCAAAAATAATCAAAAACGACCCCAGGCGCTTGTACTTAAACCTTCACTGGGAAGCACGCCGACAAGCAAAAAACTTACAATTATTTGGACCGGACCCATTGGAAAAAGAGCAAGAACAGATCCAAGATGCCCGGCCCTGGCGATCAACCATCCACCCTGGAAGTCAACCACCAAGAAGGAATGAGCAAAGAAGCAATTATTGAAGCAACAAACCAACTATGTCTTCTTCAAGAAGGCATAAGCAAACAGTTTTATGCAATAGGAGTAGGTAAAATAATTTAATTCGCAGTTTATGACGTCTTATCGTATTCCCTATTATTATTTTCAGAATACTTCAGTTAAACCCAAGGATAATTTGGAATCGGCAATTGTTGATTGGATGGCAAAAAAATATTTACCTTTTAATTTCTTCAATGACGAAGACACGCAAAATTTTTTTAAAGAAATATCTGGAGAGGATTTTCCAAAACAGAATAAATTGAGAAGATTAGCAATATTTCGATTTGACTGCTTACAAAAAAAAATGATCGACCTGTTGACAGAAAATTCTTCAAAATTATCATTTACTATAGATGGCTGGACCTCTATCAGCGGCAGATCTTATTATGGAATAACCACTCATTTTATAGATAAAAATTGGGAATTGCAATCTATCACCCTAGATTTTATTCCTGCTCATGGAAAACATACAGGAAAAGACATTGCTCTCACGTTTTTTAAAAGTCTTGACGATAAAGGCTTACGCAACAAACTTCAAGGAATAACAATGGATAATGCCTCAGCCAATACATCTTTTATTAGAGAACTTCAGGAGCTAATTCCCGATTTAAATGTAGAGGACTGCCATTTTAGATGTTTTGCACATGTAATTAATCTGGCTGTGCAAGATTTGTTAAAATTGCTAAAACTTAATTCTGAAGCAAATGAAGAATTGAGCGATGATAGTGTCGATGAGGAAGCTGATGTTGAGGAAATTGAAAATAATTCCAATGCAATATGCAAAATACGTTCTATTTTTTCAAGAATTAAACGGTCAGAGCAACTTTTAATTAAGTTTCGAAGTGCCTGTGAGGCAACTAGTAATTCACGGAAACTGACACCTGTGTTGGATGTGCCTACACGGTGGAATTCGAGTAATGATATGTTGCAAGTAGCTCTTAAAGGCAGACATGGACTCGGTGTATTGTGTCAAAATGTTGCCGATTTAAAACCATACACTCTTGGGGATGAAGAATGGATACTGCTAGAAGAAGTGCATAAATTACTATCCAACTTTCAAATACTTTCAAAAAAACTCGGAGGAGACAAGTACGTCACCTTACCTATGGTGGTTGTATGTATCAATATACTAATAGATAATCTTGAGAGCAAAATATTTGAATGGGAGGGAAAGGCAGGTCGAACCCCTGTTGAAGAGCAGCTTATTGTTGGTTTTCAGGCTGCGAGAGACAAAATATTAAAGCATTATCGTAAAACTAACTGGATTTATGCTGCAGTTTTAATTCTCGATCCGCGGCATAAATTATAAGCATTTGATATGACAAGATCGGGCCAAGAATTAAAATTGAGTTCGATCCAGAAATTTCAAGATATATACAAAGTTTATTTTCATCAATCAGAGGGACAACGTTTAAAAAAAACGGCGGTCGAGGGACAAGATCCTGAACCAGAAAAGTCGGATTTTGTAATCGATGTCTTGTATGCAGTAAATCCTAGCCCTGTCGAAGGAGAATGGATGGAGCTTCAAAAATATTATTATATGCCCCGGTGTAATAAAACCACAGATATATTACAATGGTGGAAAATTCATGCTTCTGAATTGCCCATTCTTAGTTTGATGGCACGAGATCTCCTAAGCATACCGGCTACTTCAGTCCCGGCGGAAAGATTGTACTCACGTGCTGCGTTAACTATAAGAAAACATCGAAATCGCCTTAATAATGAATCTGCACGATGTTTGTTATGCCTAAACGACTGGGTGAAAAACAAAATTATTTGCGATCCAGAAAGCTGTTAGCAGATTTGTTTCCAATTATTCACAAAATGTTAAGATTTCGTTTTATTTAAAAGTAATATTTCAAATAGATGATGTTATCTACAGTTGTAGTTTTCTCTTCCCACCCTTACATTATAGCAAGTAGGTAAGTATCCGGGATACTTACCTACTGCATCCCTTACTGGAACAAAATTATCCATGAAGGGATTTCGAGACTTTTGCGAGACTCTCGTACGAGAAACGAGACGAGACGAGACTGGAGGCTGCGAGACGAGACTTGATACGAGACTTCTTATTTCATCGGCGAGACGAGACAAGACTTTATGAAAGTCTCGTCTCGTTGGTCTCGTGGGAATCACTAATTACGACTACAATGTTTAAAATATCTGTGGTGTAAAAAGTAATCTTAAAATGGTGTCAAAATCCAACACCAAGTGGTGTTAATATAACACCATGAATTATGGTTAAAAATGTGTACCGATCGCGGCAAAGGCGGTCTGGATCACGTGATGTTCTTAAATATCGCCTCTGTTGACTTACATGAAGAATATATAAACTCAGGTGGTCCTTTGCTTTGGTGTGACACTACAAGTTGTTCGATACTAAAGAGACCTTAAATAGGTGGAAACAGCTATCAATACTTGAAGTATTTTAAGTTAGTGGAACGCATTAAAAACATTATCTCTAGCGAGTTGAAGGTTCCATTTTCTGGAATAATACCACTGGTAATATACTAGTAATGCGTCAAGGAACTTGTTTCCTTTTTTTTCCTTTTTTCTGTGTAGTATAATTTAATTTGTCCACAAACACATAATATTTAACACTGAAAAGGAGTTCAATTTACACCAGGTAAAATTTATTTTAATACTGTGTGGAAGTTAAATTAACACAATTTTAGTATTTGAATTTACACCGGCCAACGAACCATATTTAACACCATTTTGGTTTGTATCGATTTATGGTGTTAATTTGGTGTTAAAATGGTCATGAAATTTTGAACAGTGTATCAATTTCAACTGCCCTGTGAATGGGGATTTGAAATCTTGGAAAAAAATCATCTCTTTTTTTAACACCCTGTAGTAGAATGCTATGTGCACAATATCGTATTCTCAAAATTAGACGTTAGTCAAAGAATCCACTATTGCTCATTTTTTGGACTAAACTGGGAAATAACGACAATTTTCGATATATTGGCATATAATCGTAGTAAGCCGCGATATTCACAAAATCTCGAAAACGATACGAGGGATTACCTTACTTATATTAGGGAGGGGTATTACGACTATTAAACTCAACTGCCTCATGAATGGGAATAACTTGAAATTTCGGAAAAAATACATCTCTTCGTTTAACACCCTGTACTATAATGCTATGTGCAAAATATCGTATTCCCAAAATTAGACATAAGAGTCAAAGAATTAGCTATTCAGAATTTCCAAAGATTTTCAAAATCCATTCAGTATTTTTTCAATAACGAGCTTTCAAATATTTTCCAAAAAACTAGGTGCGTCGATTTTTATGACGAGCAGTTTATATAAGTATTATTTTGTTTAAAATAATTTAGGAAAAAAGTCTAAACTAAACATTTATGAATACTACAACTGCTAATTCAAAAAAAGTTAATATATCAAATAATAGTCAAATATCAATAGCTTAACGTGTTATACTCAAATTTATAAAACAAAGTTGCTTCTTCGATTATTTACCCTTTAAAATTTGTTAAATTTTAAAATAAATTATCACCAGAACCCCCTGTACGAGATTTTTTTTTGAAAAAAGTACTGCATTTCTTGAACCCTTGCAAATCTACCGTTCGATCCTTTCGCGAAACCGTAGTTAAAAAGTAAAAATTGACACGGAGAACATATTTAATTAAAAAAAAATATTAGGTGCGTTCTTTTGAACTGAGATCCCAGCTCACTTTAAATGTGCTCTTTCGACAGAGCACAGGATCCATTACATTTACCGTATGGTAGAAAAGGACAAAGCTTAACTTTAACTGAAGGGGCTGAGATCCCATTCGAAAAGAACGCAACTATTGTTAATATTACTTAGGTTAGCAAAAATATGTATATAAATAGTGATAATTTAATAAATAAAAACCAGTTACATTTTAACTCACAAACTCGACTTTACTATTGCCCCAAGCCACAAACCCTTAGAACGTGAGGCTGCGTTCTACAGTAGTAAACAACCAGCAGATAATTTATCAATTATCTCTGGTCAACATTAACATAACAGCATTGCTGTTATACATGGTCCTTCGAACATCGTTGAATCAACTAATGAAGCCAGAAGAAACTGCACATCAACAATCAAACTCCTGGAAAAGGCCCTTTAAAATTAACTTAAAGGGCATATATAGGTACTCCGACACCCCGTACAACCCAGTGAGCAACGACCCACGCTGTTGGAAAGGAAAATATACCAATCAACCCCAACCAATCAACTGGAAGCTAAGTCCAATAGACTGCGGGCAAGAATTACAAACATACCAGTACAAGGTACCAAAAATAATCAAAAACGACCCCAGGCGCTTGTACTTAAACCTTCACTGGGAAGCACGCCGACAAGCAAAAAACTTACAATTATTTGGACCGGACCCATTGGAAAAAGAGCAAGAACAGATCCAAGATGCCCGGCCCTGGCGATCAACCATCCACCCTGGAAGTCAACCACCAAGAAGGAATGAGCAAAGAAGCAATTATTGAAGCAACAAACCAACTATGTCTTCTTCAAGAAGGCATAAGCAAACAGCTGAGTCAACTGTATACCAATACAAAAAAGGATTCACCCTCTCGAAAAACACAAGCTTACTTAAAAGAAAGGAGTGCCCTTGCGATGCAATTACTACTTCAAGCCAAGGAAAGTCATCAGAAGATCCAGAATTTTGGTTAAAATGAACACCCCTACATCGTGCAGAAGTACTTTGGTCAAATCAAAAAGCTTCATGATGAGATAATGAAGTACCTGGAAAACTGTCCTAAAGCAGCCCCAAATCCCAGTGACGTAACAATTTATCCAAAAGAAGGCCCGTCAACAGGAACAACCCCTTCGTTGGACATTGACCCTACTGCATCCACGACAGAATTAAGGAATGCAGTTCCCATTACTGAATCTTCAGTGGAAGAAAGAAATACAGGAACCAAGGATCAAGCGAGACGTATTCGCATACAAAACGTTCGCTTTGACATGCTGTATCGTACCATCTACACCATCAACTCCGAATTACTAGAAGAGAAACCCAAAATTCGATTGGAATTTTTTCTGCAAAAAGTTAACAAATTGTGGACATCAATAATTGAGCTCAATGAAGAAATTGTAGAGGAAGGCACAATAACAGACCATCCCTACTTTACAGAGGATACTTTCTGGACAATGGAACAAAGAGTGGAAGAAATTTGTGAACAAATCCAGATCAAAATCTCTTGCACCTTGGCAAATAACAAACCCAACATTACTTTGCCAAAAATACAGCTACCAACATTTAAAGGTGGTTATGAAAATTGGACATCCTTCCACGATGTCTTTTGCCGGGTGATCCATGAAAATACTACCATCTCAAACGTGGAGAAGATGCAATATTTAAAAACACATGTACGTGAAGAAGCAGCCAAATTAATCCAACATCTCCACATAACTGACGCTAACTATACAACAGCCTGGGCATTATTACAAAATCGATACCAAAACAATAGGCTCATAGTAGCAAAATTGGTGGACCAAATACTGGACATTCCCAAAATACAGCAAGAATCATTACAACAAATCATAAAGATTCACGATGTCATACACGAATGCCTAAAGGCGATAAACAACTTGGGCATAGATACTCAACCATGGGGACCCATCATTGGTCGAATCATCAGCCGAAAATGGGATCCAGAGACTAACAAACTATACGAACAGTCTCTCGCCCATCCGACTCAAGTACAATCCCTTGAGGAGTTAATGAAATTTCTTGAAAGGAGGTTTCAATCATTGGAAAACACAGTGACCACGAACCCTGTCACTACGATTACTAAATACTCATATCCTCGTAGCACATTCAATTCAACAACCTTTCGAAACAACGAAAAACAAAACTCTTGTGGTATCTGCCAAGAATCACACACAATTTTCAAGTGTCCAACCTTCATAAATAAAAAAACGGAAGAACGCATACAGTTAGTAAAAGAAAAAGGGCTGTGTTTCAATTGTCTTTAACATGGATTCAAAGAAAAATGCAGCAGCCAAGTACGATGTCACACATGCGGCCAACGCCATCATACATGGTTACACCAAGAATATAAACAACAACCAAAGAAATATACTAAAACTGTGGCAAACATAAGCACCAAAAAAGAAGATACCATCTCAACAAAAACACCAATCGTAAGGGTAGATCATTCTAACCGGAGCGATAAAACGGCCCTACTAGCGACAGCACTCGTTCGCACACGAACAAGAAACAGTAACCTTGAATATCTTAGG